GCAGGTACTATAATTACTTATGAACTAGTATTGCTGCAGCTTGATGAACCATCTCGTAAAAAAGGGCTAGCTCCTTTGTGTGGTTAAAAATAATTTGAATAAATAAAAAATAAATAAAGTTTGTTTTCTTAAACTAAAAAATTTTTTAAATAAGTAAATAAAAACTTAAAAAAACTTTCATATTTCATAATTATTTTTTTATAAATTTTTAATTATAATGATTTCAAGAATGGTTATCGGTTTTGATATTAAAATAGGGCTAATAGTGAAGAAAAAACTATAATTTAATTCCTTTATTTGACAAACTAATAAAATAATGATATAAGATACTGTCAAACAACCATCATCGTGTTTCATTCAGATGAGGTAGTTGCCGTCAACAGGTAGAGGGCTACAGACATTAGGACTACTTTTTTCTAAAAATTTCTAATGCAGTTTCATCATTTTGTGATAGCGTCCATATTTCTGTGCGAAACTGAATAAAAGATAGGATTATTCGTACGTTTTATCGGCCAAGAAAGAGCTCTAAATCCCAATAACCACAGTAGCATCTGTTGGTAATGTAAATTCTTTGTATGATTTCAGATTTCAGATTGCCATTATTATAGTTGGTTATAGTTGGCGATGTTAATATAAATAAAATTCTTAACAACTTCGCCAACCACTACCTTAGCATACAAGTGACTCATATTTTTGTCAGTAACCGATATATATTTCGGTTTGGCTTCAGTTACCACTATTTCTATTTTTGCAAATTCTTTTGGATAACAGCAAAGCCAATAGTAATATCACGGTTAATGATTAATTATGTAGATGTTCTCTGCATATCAGGGATCTGGGCCTATTTGTAAAATATTGTGCCGTTACAATGAACACCACGCATGATGATTTCCATGATGAAATGGAATCCTTATTTGAAGCTTCGTATGGTATGAATATTCGTAGCGACTCTTCCTTCGAATGTTGCCTCCACCTAACATCCACAAGGATCGTTAGGAAAGTTATGCAGATCAGTCTGCTTGCCTTTCACTTTTTGAATACCGGAAAATTTATTTCATTTTTCAAATTTCCAATAAATTATTTTTTTCTACTTATCTGCTACTACGTTAGTTCGTAAAATTAGTTAACTTCTAGCTTTCTTAATCAACGTCGTTCCAAAGTTAACAGTTTCAATTGTAATGCAATTTTAAATTGTCCACACCTACGGCATTCGCCACTCATTGAGGTACAATAATTTACGGGGCTTTTTCAAAAATTTATTTTAATATATATTTTTTTAAAATCTTGTCTTGTGGATCATAGATATTGGTTTACTTTCTTTGTAAAGGTGCGACAGTTGTCATACTCTTTATCTCAGCTCTGAATAGATTTAATATAGTTTTATCTCCTTTATTGAAGATTATTTTTAATAAGTCAGTATAATAAAAAAATGGAAATGTTTACCAAAATATGGAGTCTGTTTCTACTCAAACAAAACGATAGTTTTTTGTACTACCTCCATAATAAGTAAAAAATCCATTGATGTCGACTGCTCATATAGCATTCACAGTTACTTTTTATTAATTCGGCAAGTATATAATATATGTAATAAATAAGTATATGAATATATATGACAATATATATAGGTTAACAAAATTATACAATATATACAATATAATACAAGTTTAACAAGGTAATGCAATACATAAAGGTATATGTTAACAAGCTATTTTCTCAACGTTTAGAGCTCCTCGTAAATAAACATAGAATTTAATACTTAAATCGTGTCTCATAAAATCTAAAACTGAAGACGTGGCAACTATTTTATTAACGTCAATTCAGTTCAGCAACATTTTATTTCTCATTGTGCCAAAGTAACATTGTTGACCAACGGATGAAATCCTTAATCGCGTACAGAGAAATACAGTTGAAGTTAATTTACCGAAAAATATAAAAAGTTCCACTTTTAGGTGGTAACCTGAAGTAAAAAGTAACGTTTATTGTTTTTGGATTAAAAGTGTAGGATGAGCATGTAATTCAATTGACATTATGAACTAAGGAAGTTTTTAATAGAGTTACAAGTAGAATTTAACAATATGTTTGAACTAAAAATTACTTTGTATTATTCCGGTAGATTGGATTTCTTGGATAATCAATTTTAGCATCTCATATCTCAAATGTCGGCAAGATATAATCTATATTTTGTATAATCTATATTTAATCTATCTTCCGTTCAATCCCCTGATTTGTTTGGTTTTTTTCTTGAATAATCAATTATAGCACCCCCGTACATAGTATTTAGTAGGATATGTTCTAAATGGGATTTAAAGAAAATATAAAGTTGTGACGGAAATTTTTTTTTTTTGCTCGCAGTTCGTTCTTAGTAAAACTTATTTGTTCATGACATGGATTTTCATGGCAGGGAATAGAATAAATCCTTTATTGTATTTCACAAAATTGATATTGTTTTAAGGTTAAGATCATGTTTGTTCCGAATCCAGTTATCACTAAGTTGGCATTTAAGTTATTTAAAATTTTGCACTCATTCGATAGTAGTATTGTTTTTCTGCGCTCAACTGGTAATATTTTAGACAAAAATAAGGGTTTGTATTATACTTTCGCACCTTTCGTCGATTATTTGCTGTACTCCATCAGGAGACTTGTTACATAGAATCTAACTATTTCTCCAACTATTTTTATCTCTACTAATTTAATTTGTTTTCGTTCTTCTTCAGGGTTTACGTGGTCTTTCTCTGTATCTGCTAAAGTGGGGGATCCATTGAAGTGTTTCGTGGTATATTTCGTCGTACGGCTTTCATAGAGTGTGGCCAAGCCAATTATATATCCGACGCTTAACTTGTGAGTTGATATCTTCTTGAATTGTGCATTAAAGTAGTTCCATATTTGAAATTTTACGTGGCCATCAAATTCTCAATATATTACGTAGGTTTTTATTGGTAAAACTTTGAAGTGTTCTTTGAATTTCACTATTGAGCAACCAAGTTTCGGATCCATACAATAGGACTGATTTTACAAAGGCATTGTGAACATGGATTTTTGTTTGAGGAGATATTTTATTTGAGTTCTATACACTACAAAGATTACTGAACGCTATTCTGACTTTTGATATTTTGCTACCCTGTTACTAAAATGGTATTGCAAAATACAACAGATATGACTTCATATGATCAAAAAATCAACAGAAAAAAATCAATATCTGTAAAAAGACTTCGATTTGATTAGGTAATATCTGTATATGTAATCTATTATATTTTCAATATTATGGACAGTAATCTGGTGATTATACTATGATTATACATATGATAGCTCACTTCTTTTGATTTAATAACAATAATAAATAATAAGAATAAACACCATGTTATTATTAATAATGTAAATATTCCAATTAAATTTTTTATACATATATGTATATATGGAATTAAACTTAAATTCATAAATTCTGATAAATATAATTAACAAATTTAGTAAACTTGCTTGTTTTGCTTTAAACTTATTGAACTAAAGTGAAGTGTTCTTTTTATACACGCTAACGTGCAAATTTTTATAAATGTAAACAGGACACGCTATTTAAAAGGATAATGAAACAGGTCGACAATGTAATTGACATCCTTTAACAAGGGTTTTTTTTATTAAATACTTCAATGAAATTTTGCAACGTGGGCACTATCTACAACTATTAATTAAATAGTATTTACCATTGAATTTTGCACTGTTTACTTCAGTTCCTTATTTACACAATGTGACGAGTTGATGTGGTAAACATGGCTCTTAGAAATGGTATTTGTCATTAGGCAATATACTTTATTTTGGTTTATGAAAAGCACATATACGTTATTGAATTAAGTGAAGGAATGATGGTCAGTCGTAATAAGTTAAGAAAAATTTTTAGTAAACATCAACCAATTTTTGGCGATAATACAATATTTAAAGTCAGGAATAATATTTACAATCTTAATAAAGTACATGCAGCAACAACAAAAACAATCGATAATAATTCCAAAGATCCATTAGAAACTACAACAACCATAGCAGAATACTCAATCTCTCAGGAAAAATATATTAGTAATGACAATATTAATGCAATTGAACAAAAGGATGATGTCTCTGATATATTTCATCGTGCAGTATATCCCAGTGAGTTTAATCACTTATTATTATTATTATACAAATATGATAATTTTATTTAAAATCTATTTATATATATACTTTTCTATATTTGTACCGACTTTTTAGTTATAATAATTGCTCAATGTTTTGGTGTAATGCCTGTGATGGGAGTGCGTCATAAAAATCCACGTCGAATGCAGTTTTCCTTTATTTCCATGCAATTGCTCGTTACTCTAATCTATTTTGGCACTACTATATTACTTCTAGTATTCATGGTTAGACATCTCTGGTTTGTTGGTATAGATGCTAAAAATATTGGTTTGTATTAAATGAAATTGATTTGTTTTTTAAGAAATTCTATTTAAATTTTAGGAGGTGTTATATTTTACATAAGTGCATTTTTAGCTTATGTTCTATTTATGCTACTCGCTGCGAGGTGGCCAAAATTAATTAGAGTCTGGGCTCGTAGTGAAATAACGTTTAACCAAAAGCCATACGAGATCTTGCCTAAAAACTTAGCGGCACGAATAAGAACTGCTGCTACCATCATTATTATTTTATCTGCTGGTAAGTTCTTTGACTTTTAATGTTATATCAGGGTATACAGGGTATTCGCTTCCATAGAATAAAATTCAAGAATTCGTTTTAAAGATTAGAGCCATGTTATATAGTCAGTCATAATTACGTTAAAAGTGAAAAACTTGTTGTTTTAAATGCAAGTTAAAAAATTTAGCACAAGAGAAAGAGAATAATGTATCTTAAAATTTGGTCAAAATCGCATTGCTCAGGAATAATGCCAGAACTTCTGTCTATGAGGAGTAAATATACGTATACAACAATTGTGATCATGGCCAATTGTGATCATGGCTGTTTGTTTAATATAGCCCTTACAGGCAAACGGTGCATGATAGAAGGAAGATATGATGCACAAAAATTATCAATAATTTTTTAAAAAACAATAAATATCAAGTATTATTAGCTCGCAATGGACCTTGAATACAAACTATCTATGTGTCTTTTTCAATAAAAATGTACAAATTTCTTTATTAGTACTGATGCAAGCAAATCTTCTTCTTTTTCTTCTTATTTGGCACTACAGTCCAGTATGAAGCTCAAGATCTGCTTTCATCTGTTGCTATCTTCTGCTACTCTCTTCCAGTTTAGTACTCCAAATTTCTTTATCAGTACTGAAATGCAAGCAAATATAATATTAAAATCTTAAGTTTTTTGTTTTGCAGTGGAACATGGTCTATCGGTGGCTTCAAATGTTTTAAATTATACACGAAAAATTGAGATTTGTGCAGCTGCACTAAATACATCTGCTAAAAGTTCCTTTGATGATTTTATTAAACAACATTATGTATTTATTTATTCCATGATACCATATAATATATACGGAGGAGCATATATAATGGTAATTAACATCTTTAATTATTCTTAAATAAAACTTTTTCTGCACTTATTGTTATGTGGATTGGCACGTTGTGATAAAACTTCCTTTATTGATAACGAAGATTAAAGAAAATCTCCGTAGAGTGTTAATTTTTAATACAGGTGAAACATGTGATTTTCGTTTGCAAATTATATTTAAGATAAATATCAGGCTTCTATATCTGTTATATACATATTTATATATAAGCCAAATATTATCGTCTTTGCTCAGTCTCCACAATTTTGAAAACGACTCTAACATTACTTGAAAATTTTGTGACATTCCTAGGATCTTATATGTAGACTGATTGGATAAGAAATATATGAAGGACCGTTTAAGTTTCAGCAAACCTGGAGTTCACTAGCTCAAGAAGAGGTAATAGCAAACTGTGTTGGTTGGTGGGACGTAGTAACGGCAAGCATAGTAGTGGTATCACACACTCAGCCATGAAGATCATAGTTTTAAAACTAATATACGTTAGTTAATAGATAGTTTTAAATATCTATTGTTTGAAGCTCATGAAGACCGGAGTGTTACGTTGATGTTTCAGCAGGAGATTGTATTAGTAGATAGTGGAGACGTTAATAGAACGAAAAAGAGATGGAATTGAATGACTTTCTTTGTCTAAATTATAAAGTACCAATTAAAAAATTATGTTTTGCTTAAATGAAATAGTAATTCATGTTTTTACTTTTGTTAATTTTTTGTTATATAAACTTAATTTAATATTTGACTATTTATTATAATACGGTTAAAGACCAACTGGCACTGTAAAAAGCGTTTTTAGTGGACTCAAAGATCAATCTAATCAAAACTAAGAAGCGAACTCAATAAAATGTATTGGAGAAAACAATAACAGCTGTAGTCAGATATAAATTAATGTGGAGGAGATTATTGCTTCACTAATTTGGCATAAATAAGGAAGGTACACTCATCAGTTTTCTTAACCCCACCTGGAAGATTAAATTATTTAACGAAGATATAAAAATAACAACGGTTAATGTAGTTTGAACATCACCACCGGGTGATTTTGATGACATCACTATGGGCGATAATTGATAGAAAGTGTTGATATTTGAATTAATACTCTTCTTGTAATCCTAACCTAACCTGAAGGATTTTAGCAGGCGAAAGAATCGATGCGTCAGCTAGATTACACACTGATTTCTTAAAGCAGCTTAAAGTATCAATAAAGAATCGGTACCATTGTTATTCTTCTGGTACTCATGCCACTATAAATTGCTAGGTTATTATAATATTTATTTTCAAAAGTATCACTAAACTATTTCAGCAACTTGGTATTTAGCTAATTGCCTAATTTTTGTTCAACGATTAACGATATTGATAGTTATATTCGATATACGTAATATACTATATTTTCAATTTATCTTAAAGTATCCATAGCAAGAAATTAAGCTTTAATATAATAAATTATTAATATTTTTTTTTGCTTCTGTTTTTTCTATTAACTTATTTTTGTTGCTTACTTAAGCTAATACATGGAGCATGTACATTTGTTTGGAACTACATGGACCTCTTTATTGTGATGATAAGCAAAGGCATCGCTTATCGATTCGAACAAATAACAACGCGCATCAATAAATTGGCGGGCAAGGTAAGCTATTCCCAAATTGGTGATTTGTGCCGCAGGTTGACAATTTTCTGATTAATATGTCTACACTTCTGTAATGTTTATTTCCACTTTCTCTCAAAAAACAACAATCGTCGGCTTCCAAGGAGATACCTGAGGACACTTTTGCTGAGATACGTGAACATTATGTGAAAGTGTGCGAATTGTTGGATTATGTAGACGATAATTTATCGGGCATTATTCTGTTGTCCTGTGCAAATAACTTGTATTTTGTGTGCAATCAATTGTTGAATGTTTTTAAGTAAGTTGTATTTTTTTAATTTATTAACAAAATATTATTTTATCTTTCGCTTACAGCAAGTTGCGTTGGCCTATTAATTATATTTATTTCTGGTATTCATTGCTGTATTTAATTGGACGAACGGCTTATGTTTTCCTTACAGCGGCATCTATTAATGACGAGTCCAAAGCTGCGTTAGGTGTACTACGACGAGTTTCTAAGACGACATGGTGTGTAGAGGTAAATACTAATTAGAATTTAATAAAATCTACTGGAAGCAAAATGTTGTGACATTTTTAATATATTTTAATAGGTGGAGCGATTAATATTTCAAATGGCAACACAGACAGTAGCTCTGTCAGGCAAAAAGTTCTATTATTTAACACGGAAACTATTGTTTGGGGTGAGTATTTTAAATAAAGTATAAAGATTAGAAAAATATTTAATAAGAGATCTAAATTAATGTATACTTATATTAAAAAGATATTTATAATGAAGATATCTGAATTATAAATGTATACCTAAACAACTAGTTAAGAAGGATTGAAAGTTATATTTCATTATATATAGTGGATAATAATAGACATAAGAAACTAATATACAAGTAGATAAGAATATAGTGTTTCGCTATTTTCAACTTTATTTGCTTTTTGATTTTACGATAAAGTTTCTATATTTCATCTAAGAAAAATTCTGGACCAATGGGCTTAATTTAAAAGTGATTTATGCTACCTTTTTTTCCACTATTTTTGCAAGTGAAATAAAATTATATACACCAACGATGTGTTTCAAAAAAGAGCGGACTTGAAATTTGCTTTACATATATGTTTTTCTGATGACTTGATCGCAATGATCCATAGAATCGCTTTGGAACTAAAGGGGGAAAAACGACTCGCCGTATCATTCTATATGAAAAATGGGTTTTTAAATAAAATATCCTTATCGTATTCCTACAATTATTTATTAGGAAATTAAAAAAAAAATTCAAACAAATAACCTTCTATTAATTTGACAAAAATCACAAAATAAATTTATGCTTTATAGATATAAATGTAAATCCAGTAAAACTTTATATATTGCATGTGCTCCATAACAATGTTCTAAAAATTTGAATATGAAAGATACTTATACCTCAGATACCTTTCACTGAAAAAGTTAATGAAGTTATGGAAAAAATTCTAGAACTCCAGCGTGCGAGTAGTCACGATTTCGAAGATCAGTGATTACAAAAGAAAACACAAAAATTAAGCGACATTATATATAATAAACTCATAGTCGTAACATTGTATTCTTTAATAAATGTGAATCATAGGTGATATTTATTTTTGTTTTATATACATAAAACCTCTCTTCTAATATAAATTTTTTCCTTGGAAATAAGTGAACAATATTTGCTTGTCCTGAAACAAATATTACAATGTGTGTTCTGGAAAATTAAAAAATGATTAATTGAATTCACAACCATTTCTCGGTTTACTAATCCAC